AAGTCAGTGTCATGTGTAAATAAAGAACTCCAGGTGTAAGCTGGTTTTGTCTATAGGAAAAATTAATTAGTAAGTTGTGTGGTAAGTTCTGTGGTAAACATAAATGTTTCAAAGCCGATACATTTTGTCCTGTGTAGATTTTTACACTTAATTACAAAATCATTAAGTTGTCAAAATAGGAATATCGCTACATAGGTGTCACAAGCAAGCTAACACCCTGTGCATTTTACCTATTATCAGTTTCACGCCAAAGTAAAGCTAAAATCAACACCACTATATCACAGCACCAGGTACTTGCCAAAGCCACTTGACAAAGTGTTCTAATTTGTGGGGGGTATTATGGTAAGGTTGCCAGTCGTACAATGTCAATTCAACGTGGGGAAACTTACAGCAACACTATGTAAGATTGAGACTTCTCTTGAAAAAATGCGTAATGTCAGTTGTGCTTTCTGATGCTTTTCCCTGAGTGGATGGTCTGATAATCATGAGCAAACTGAAAGAGTATTCAAAGTAAAAAAAGTCAAAACTTGGTGAAGGACGTGTCATCTGAGAATGTAAGTGAATGATCTACTATTGTCATTCTATCTTCATCAGTATAAATGTTGATTTTGCATTTGAGAACTATCAAGCGGGACCTTCTTTTTGAGCCTGTGTATGTGGTGTATTATGTTCCTCCTCAGGCTTTACAGGGCGACGCAACACCATATTTTAGTTTTTTTTTTCTTCCTGTATCTCAATAATGCTACTTTCACTATTAACAAAACAATCGTACATAGTGCAGCCTTAATGTCAATGTGAACCTTCATATTGTGACATATTTGAAAAGTATGCATTTTTGCTTCATGATAAGTGGGGGTGGTGGGAGGTCCATTCTGACTACAGGATGACCTTAGAACAGTTATAGTTGGGGGGAAATGTACACAGAACAAAACGTATTTGCTTTGAACCTGATTAATCACATAGCTTGATGGTTTCTCAAACACTATTCATTTGTTCCTCGTAGTTAGGGGGAAAAAAGCTTCGATCCAGGGCTCTACCAGATGCAAATGGAAAACTACAAAGTGGCAACACTTCAGCAAAAATAGACAGTTGACATTTCTGCTATTCAATGATCCTGTCTCCACCATAGCATTTTTCAATTGACATGGTAATTAATTAAAGCAAAAAACATCACTGCAAAAACATGAAACACCCTTAGATTCTATCTGTGCCTATTCAGAGTGCCAATGAAGTAATTGCCTAGTGAGCGCATAATACTAATTAACACTTTCCAGTAACCTGGCTAAAGAAACTGAACAAAACATTAGGGTGGTTCAAGTTGAGCCTTTGTGTTACCTAAACATTTTAACATGGATTTATGTCACGCACATTCAATACAAATGGAATATTCTACACAACAAAATGTGACATTTTGCAGATAAAGTAAATGCATAAAAGATTTCCTGTAAAAAGAACATCAAAAAAACTCCCGTTTGACACAATCTGGCATGGCACGCCATATATACCAACATGCTCTCTGTCAAACACACTCTCAAAAAGAACAGTTTTCCCAAAGCAAGACCAAAAAAAAAACCTGACACACTAACATTCTGAACAGCCTGCACATAATGGACAGAAGTAGGGCGGATGGGTAGCCGGCGAGAATGGATGGATTGATGGCTAGACAAATGAAAAACTACAGCCATTCTATACAAACTACAGCAATTTAACCAACATCGCTATTTTAGAAGATTTAAAAGGTAGATGTGTAAATGAAACATGATCAATTTTAATTCCAATTCTCCTTCAATCAAAATGACCACCTTTTTCATTCAGTGGAAAAATTATGTCATGAGAGGATTTGGCTGTAGGGAGTAATTTGCACAAGAATAATTCTTTAGAAATTAAAAAAAGTGAGGTATTGTCTCTATGGCTTGTGAATGGATTCACAAACTAGAAAATTCTCTCAAAAATCAAAATGCAGTACACACATTTAAAAGAAAAAACTCACACAAACACTCGAACATGCAGTACTTCCACAATGGATGCTAAAGTGTCAGAAGTGTCTTGGCAATAAACAAAAGAAAATTAAACTGAAAACACTGTGCAGTCGCAGCTTTTTTCGACCCATTTTTCAAGCACACTAATCTCATGCAACATCACTTACTTCCTCCTGCAACACTGAGATGGCTTCTGCTTTTTTAAACTTGGCACATTCCCCACAGAGGAGCACAGTCTTTTGAAACCTGCCACTAGGCACAAGGAAAGCTAAACGGAGCGCTTATTTCTGAGCCTGAGGTGGAGCACCACAAAACACCAGTGAAGTATCACTGCCTTTTCAACAACACAGGTGGACAGCAACAGTCGTTTTGAGGGAGTCACTTCCTTAACATGTTTCTATTGATGTTTTACACACTTGCTCCAGAAAGATATGCCACACTTAAAAAGAAAATGAATAAAAAAGTGTCATTAGATGCGAAGCACCACCCTCATACTCTGCTATAACCTTTGTCCTCCTTCTATAAAGTCACCATTTCAGCAATACAAGGTCTTGCTATGAGTGATTACATGCATGTATAATGCTGAGAATTACAATGCAATGTACAAAAAAAGTACACTGTAAATTTCCCAATTTCAAAAAAAGTTGAGAAAGTATGTGAAATGCTAATAAAAGCAGAAAGCAGTGAGTAAATTCTGTCTGATCTATATTAAATTGAAAACAGTATAAAAACAATATTTGATAGTTTACATTAGAAACTTTACTGTTTTTTTTTTCGTAAATATGTGCTAATTTCAAAATTGATGCCTGCAACACTTTCCAAAAAAGCTGGGACGTGAGTATGTTTACAACTGTGTTACATCACCTTTCCTTTTAATTTAACAACACTTAATACCTTTGGGGACTGAAGACACCAACTGATCCAGTTTTGAAAGCAGGATTTTTTGCCGTTCTGTTTTACAAGTCTTCAGCTGTGCAACTGTACAAGGCTTTTGTTGTTATATTTTGAGCTTACTAAGACACACATTTTAAACAGGAGACAGTTCTGGACTGCAAGCAGGCCAGTCAAGCCCCTGCACTCTCTGATTACACAGCCATGCTGTTGTAACATATGCAGAATGTGGTTTGGCTTTGTCATGTTAAAAGAAGCATGGGTACTCCTGAAAAAGATGTCATCTAAAAACAAGCATACGTTGTTCAGCGTTAATGGTGCCTTCAAAGATGTACAAGTTACTCACTAATAAGTCCCATACCATAACAGACGCTGACTTTTGAACTTCACACTGGTAACAATCTGGATGGTTCTTTTCTTCTTTAGACTGGAGAACACGATGTCTATTATTTCCATAAACAAAGTGAAACGTGGACTCGTCAGACAACATACACATGGCCGCTGTGCATCAGTCCATTTCAGATGAGTCCAGAGAAGTTGATGTTGTTTCTGGACACTGCTGACAGCTCCATTGTGCACAGTACAGTCTTAACTTGCCTTTGTGGATGCAGCTACGAACAGCGTTTTCTATGTTTTTTCAACATACTCCCGAGCCCATGTGGTGATATCCATCACAGAAACAAGCCGGTTTTTAATGCAATGCCGTCTGAGGGGTCGAAGGTCATTCATAGTTTTCAGCATTTTCCTTCATGCACAGAGATTTCTCTGCATGCCCTGAATCTTAGATGATGATATGCACCGTAGAGGATAAAATACCTAAAATCAAAGTGGCAAAGAGGCAAAGTGGCAAAGTGGCAGGCCTCAACCCATTGTTGTTTATAATGGACTCTTTCCCGGATGCTTGTTTTGTACAGCATAATTGCATCACCTGTTTAAGATGTTTTCTGTATATTTCAAAATGTACCTAGTCTTAAATTGCCCTGTCCCAACTTGTTTAGAACATACTGCAAGCATCAGTTTCGAAACAAGCATAAACATTTTGACATAAAACATTACATTTCTTGTTTATGCATTGTTTTTGTTTAAATACACATCAAAGCAGATTCATAAATCACTGTTTTCTGTTTTTCATTTGCATTTTATCCACTGTCCCAACACTACACCCAACTACCCCCAAAGGATCTGCCCCAAAGTTTTACAAAAGTTCCTCCCACCTTCAGGATACATCCAGTCTTTAAACTGGAATATCTCACTCTGCGCTATGACTGTAGGAGGAGACTAGGCATGTTTACAACAGATCACTAAATTTTTCATTCTGATTAAATTTATTTTAAATGGAGTGGCAAACCCCCACAAGAGGGAGTGAGCTACATATGAGCTTCATGAGGTGCTCTGCATCTAAAAAAAAACAACTTAAAATCCAACTGAAGGAACTTAAAAATAGGAGAGTGCAAAACCCTTACATAGCCTCTCTGAATGGAAGCACAAGCTTCTGTCCTGCCTCTGAGGTGACAAGTCTAGTAATGAACATTTTGTCTTGAGATAATTGGGTTTGATTGGTGAGCTTTTTGTCTCTAGTTTGACTGCTCTCTGAAGGCTTTCAAAAACAAAGGACATAATTGGGGTCCACATAGGGTGGGACCCTGCACTTAAAAACATGCCACGTGTACCACCAGAACCAGTTCAGAACAGAAGGCCAACATTTCCGTCTTTAACTATTTCTTCAGGCTGCCTGTGCGCTGGATTCGAAAGACTCAACCTCAATGTTTATGTAAACTCAAAATGTGGCAGCGTACACAACAAATGCACCCAAGATATTGATGAGAACCACGCTGTGATTGACAAAAGCTAATTGCCAAATGTTTCTCACTTTGTAATTGTGGTCGTTAGGACAGATGTTTCTATACAAAATGAGATTTTTTGTTTCTAAAAAAGCAGTTGGCATTTCATCTTGCTTATACCAGTTCTGATTTAAAAACCGTGTTTCTACTTGGGCAAGACTCTAAAATGGTTTAAGACACACTTAAAGGACAGGTCCTGCCTCATAAACTAAATATCGACTTATTATTATTGGTATGTTGTCATTTACCCATGATGCTTCATTTCAGTGACTAGGACTGCACTTGGCAATTTACATGGGGTGTTCAGAGGAGGCTCCTTTTACAGTTATTAGGGCCCAATCAAACAGTTATACAGTTATTAGGGCCCTCATTAAAAAGAATATAACATTATGAAAATCACCTGTATAAATCCATACGCAAGTATCATACACTTGTTTTCACTTGTCTGCAGATTCACTGCAAAAATGACGAAATACAGTGTCAATATTAATAAAAAAATGTCTGGGTGCGCAGCAGCATAACAAGAAAATCGATATGTAGTTAAATAAAGCAGAACCTTTCCTTTAGGGAGTGCCTGTTTTCAGCCAAACCTCCACATTAAAGGATACAGGTTGCTCTGAGAGTATTGTGTAAAAACATTATACACATATATTTTATATTGACTATTTACAAGATTTATATGCACAATTTCCTAAAGCTTTACCAATGATCTGCTTACATATCCTATACAGATAAAAAACTGATTATAAACAAGAGATTACACCTGTATCTCCTCACGCTTTCCTTTTCTTCTTAAGGTCATCACTTTGTCCACAAATGAGTCAAACGTTCCTAAGGAAAAAAATAACAGGTGTGAAAGTCATATTGTGTGTATTTTCTACAGCTGTGTGCCTGGAACAGTGGGTGGGATGGGCACAACAGGCTCCCCTGGCCAGCGCCCCTCACTCCTCAGTGTCCTGGCTGGGTGGGAATGGCACGGCCACAGCGTGTTCCTGTGCCAGAGCGGCCAGCTCTTTGAGGAACTCTGAGAATATTATCGCACAGTAAACCGTGTTTTTCACCCGTAGCGCCTCCGCCTGCTTCTCCAGCCCAGATGTCCCCATCCCGGCCACAACGCCCCTGAACAGGGCACTATGAAGAGACTGACCGCCGTCCCTCACGTGAGCCAGTGCGGCCTGAGCCGCGTGCCGTGCCCGTGTCGGACTGTTAGTGTGCCTCAAGATCAGATCGCCCAGAGATGGCTTCCGGCTCTTCACTGTGAAAAAAGAGAGAGATACACAATGCTAAGACACAATGCTGTGCCAAGGCCCAAACACTTATCAGAAACTCGAAAGTTTTTGTTACAGTAATTTTAATATAAATTTACATTCATGTGCATTAAATGTAATGTAAATTAAACAGTAAATATTACAGTATTACTCGTTTTACTGTTAAGTTTTGGATGGAAAGAAAAAATTCAATTCTAACAGGATCATTGGTCAATCAGGAATTGTTTTTCTCTGTGGTATCTAGGTAGATATAGCTAAGCGAGCTCTCCCATTGGTTAGGACTTCGAGAGCTGAAGAGAAGATTGATGAAAATTCAATAAAGTTCTTTAAAAACTCCAAAAGCGTCAGGTCATCATCAGCATAAAGAGGAATCAACCAATCACATTTTGATTTCCAATTGGTGGCACCAATGTCTTGAAGAAAAACACATCACTCAAGGCCTTCTGGAAGTGGCAATATGAGCGGCAGTCTAAACATCCCACAGGGACACTAGCAAAAGTTAGCATTATCGTAGAGGTGTGTTTTATGTAATGATATGGGAATTGTGGGCTGAAGCTTTTTCACGTACATATCTGCAGATGATGGTGCATAAGCATTCAAAAATATGCAACTACCTGAATTATTACAGAGACAAAAAACTTTAGAAAAACAATTTAGATTTTAATTAGTAGCCTAATGTGCCTAAACATTACGCTCTTCTGGGATGCAATATATACATCATATATTGGTTTAAAATATCAGTCAATGTCCTGATGCCTTTTTCTAAGTCATTGCACCTGCAGTCTTCTGAAATAGCCTGTATTGCCCGTGTACATAAAACAATCTCATCTTTGCTAGGTAAATATAGTATTAATATAGGATTAAATACACCCAATACTTTTAGAAGTTCAATTGTGTTCATGTGTGGGAATACTAGTGTCTTCCTATGGTTTGCAAGAAATAAATCAATAAATGAATGACTGGTCACTGTCACTGGGGTAACTCTAATAACCACTGCTGGGCACAAGCCTACTGCAGCAATTCCAAACTTTTGAATGTATAAAATAATTAAATATATGTAATGTATAAAATAACTCAATAATACGACTTACAAACTTGAATTCTAGTGTACATCACACTAAAAATGACAAAAATAACATCATTCTGTGAGTGGTCCTCCACAAAGAACTAAGTAGACTAATCCAATAATATCAGCAGTTTTTACTTATCGTGATCAGGAGCAGCACGACTGACCTAATGAGCCTGATGTAAGAACTATTACGAAGCACACATTCCCCTTAACTGACCTTTACACAAATATAGATAAAGAGAAACACACACATACACACACACACACACACACACACACACACACACAACAAAACCCTTTCATCTCCTCGGTCACTAACCCAGCGAGTCCGATCGGCGCAGAGGAGGCACTGCTGTGGGCGAGTCTGTCCAGTCCAGTTTACCTCGCGCCAGAAGGAAGCGCCGAGCCTTCCTCAGCATGGCTGGAAAATCCTCGTGCACTGCAGCAAATGATTCAATACGATTCTTTACAGATCCAAGCACCTGAGGATGAGTCAAAGAGAGGAATGTGACAAATCAAACTAAATCAGTCAAAACACAGTGTTCAGTTCACTGCACAATAAAGGCTGAAATGCCATTCAGAACAGTGGTTTTAAAAAAAGACCCTGGGGAGCTTCAAGCAGAATAAACCAAAGCCTCTTGCTTTCTAATGAACACAAAATGTTCAAAAGACCTTCTGTCAAAATGCACTGATGACTCCAAGCAAAAGAACAGAAAGACAGAAGAACAGCAGAGGAATTCCAACAAGAAACAAAGAACACAATGTTCGTCAAAACACAGGATTTTACCTACCAACAACAAATAAGCTGTCATATCAGAAACACTTAAAAATTAATCAGATGCAGATGTTTTGGATGTGTATGTGGTAGGACGAGGGGTATTTTATTTTCTTACAAATGAGGGTTACAATATTGATATGTTTCAACAATATTTTACCAACATATTCTTTCAGCAGTATTTATTTCTCATCCATCAACTAACCCAGGCTAAACATGAGTGAGGGACTGAAGAAGTTATGAGTGATCCACAAATCTAATGCAGAATCCACTAGAGGGCAACAAATACAGTAACAATGACAGTCCATTATCAAAGCTTTCCCAAAAACCCAGAAGATCACTGTATAACTGCAGAGTAACTACCATTAAACACCTCTCTTCAAAAATCACAATAATAATGTCACTATCACTGTTAATCTGAGCAATGGCACCCCTGACTCAAACACCTAATCAGTATTATAGAGTACTGTGCTTAATCAGAAACACTAAACACTTTCATTGTGCTATACAATTTGAACTTAACTCCCACAAAAAACATTTTGTAGATGGAAATGAACAAGTTAACTAACTCTGGTGTACAGCATGCTTTTTCATTTAAGATCTTATTACTAATATTAATGTACAAAAAATCTTCTGTATGGTCCCTGACAAAATACAGACTATAAACTAATCAAAACCTGTTTAGTAATATCCTGTTAGGAAAGTGCTCTTTTAGATGTATATGATTTTTTGGTTATACAGGCCCTTTGCGTTTCACTATATTCCCCAAACTTTTATTACCAATATTTCTAGACACAGCATGAGCAACCTGCTGTTTATTCTAAAGCCACCTTTCTGTCATGTCTTTCTTGTGTGTTGCAGAAAGAAGCTGAACAAAAAAGACAAAAACAAAAGAACAAAAAAAAAACTGAAAGACAAAAAGAAATCTAAGAGCACCATAATAATAATTAAAACTGGATACAGTTTGTTTTCAGCGCAGATGCATTCAAACAGTTTGAGAATCAGACTAACAATGGAAAAAAAGTAGGATATGTGGTGTTGTTTCACAGTTTCTGTGTGGATCATCAGACAAAAGACATCTTAAACTGGTTTCATAAACATGACAATAAGTTCAATGTTCTTCAGTGGCTTTACCAGTCACCAGATCTGAACCAAATGGAACACTTTTGAGATGTGATAGAAAAAGAGACTCATAACATGAAGGTACACTTGAAAAATTTGAAGGAACTGCATGATATAATCATGAAATAGAATTTTAAAGAAATGTTTTCAAGATCTTGTGGAATCCATACCACGAAAAACTGATATATATATATATATATATATATATATATAATCAGTACTTAAAGAAGTTACTTTCTTAATTTAATGTCTTAATTTGAATTTTCTATGTTAATTTTTAAGTCTTTTTGGTTCCATGTCAGCTGCCTCAACTCTTTCAATAGAATAACGTCTTCCTCTCCACCCTAAAACGACTAAAAAAAGGTTTAGTCATATGTACACTGCACATGCTCAAACGTCTGAGCATGTGAGTTTAAGCTTAATGCATCAACTCTTGACTGTGTCAGCTCTTTTCATTACAGTGGCTCTAATGTGGTGTGAAATCTTACCTGTATCAGGGACTTGACGCTGGGCTGGAACACCATGTTTGTGTTGAGCAGAAAGGAGCGGAGGAGAGGCTGAGGGTAGCAGGCCAGCTGAAAGACAATGCCTGTCAGCAGAATGTTCACATACAAAGAATTCTGCATCATGTTCTCCAGCTTTGAAAACAGCACCGTCATGAAAGGACCTGCAGACAGAGCAGATGCAGCAGAATTATCTATTTGATTTTTTCAGGCTTTTACTTCTCTACTTTACATTTTCTCTGCCTACTGTTCACATCATCTGATTTTTACTTTCTCTCCTGTGCAACTCTATATATTCAGCCTGTACTGCACCACTGTTTTTCCCATCACTGTGCATGTCAGTAAATTACCCTGTTTGTTATTTGTATCGTATATGAATTGTCTGTTACATGGGTCATCAGCTGTAGTGTAACATGTGCAATATCTGCAATGTGTGTAATAATTTGTGTGTTATCTGTTACATTTTGGTAAAATAAATTGGGATGTAATATTACAAGTTTCATGATACAACAATATACACACACACACACACACACACACATTATATATATATATATTAAAATAAGTGTGCAAATAGTTAAATGGTTAAATAAAATTAAACAGGGTAGCAAGTTTTTGAAACAGTAATTGCAGCTTAAGGAAAACTGAAGGGATGAGAAAAATTTCAATTACCGATGGGTAAAAAAGAAGCAAAAAAGAATACACCTGACTAAACTTTTTAGCCCTGGGTAGCACCTTTACAAAGGCTTTACTCTATAAATTACAAAAAAAATAATATAAAATGGCTGCTTAAAAAAATACAAAATCATAAATAAAAATAATAACTTCAATAAAATAATTACTTTAAATTTTTTTGTTTATTTTTATTACATAGAATCAGGGCTGTATTTAAACTCAGCAAGTATTACAGTACTACTCTTGTTTCAGTGTTAAGTTTTGCATGGGAACAAAAGGGTTAAATTCTTGAAAGGCCTAGGGGAAAATCAGCCAATGAGGAAATGTTTTTCTCTATGGTATCTAGGCAGATATAGCTAAGCTTGCTCTCCTGCTGCTTAGGACTTAAAGCAGTACAGAGAAGTCCTACCTCGTTAGATTAATTATCAGCATAATTATGAAGTGACAGACAAACCAATCACGTTTTGATTTCCAATAGGTGGGAGCAATTTCAGGGGAAAAAAACATCACCTTTGGCCTTCTGGAAGTCTTAAACACATCAATGATTGTGAATAAGAGTGGCAGCCCCATCAGTGGATTGCCAGAAATGCTCTCCCAGAGCTCTCTACTTGAAGAGTCACTGTGAAACTGCTACAAGGTAAAATATATGCTAATATGTCTGTCACAAGTTTCAAGTAAGACATGGGCTGTCTTTAAGAAGTTTAAAATGTCTATTTTTCATCTAGTGTGGAAAAGCGTGGAAGTATTGTTAATCTACCTGCACAGGGACAGTAGATGAAAATTTGCTATTTGCCTAAATATGACATGTTAACATCATAACACAATGGTGATTAGATTGTGTACTGTCCCTGTTAAATAAAGGATGAAGTAAATGTAAACGTAGATGCACTGAATCTCTGACCAGCTGCGTTTTTTTTTAATGTGACTGACTGATAATTACCTATGTAAGGTTGTGCAAGAGGTTGCCCGAGGGGTCTTGCTGGGCTAAACAATCCTGTACTGGAACCATCAGGCTTTGAGTCTCCAACAGCTCCCTGCTCGGAATCCAGCGGAGGACACTCCTCATCTGTCCGGTTTAGACCAGGAGATACAGACAGGGGCTCCTGGCTGAACTCTTCAAAGCTTCGTGTGTGAACTTTCCTTGCTTTCACTCGCTCCTCTAGCTCCCTCAACTCCTGGTGGAAAGCTTCAATACTGATACCCTGACCATTAGAGTCTCCAGCTAGTGGTTCGGACGGTGCCTGCTCCAGCAGCTCCTCAATCAGGCTCTCGACGGACTCCAGGCTGTGGGTGGTGCAGGTTGTGAGGGAAGTTTCGAGCAAGCTTGGTGCTGGAGCAGATCTTTGGCCTTCACTGGAGTTACATTCCTGGGATGAGGGCTGTAGGGTAGGTGGATTTGGTTGGGGTTGTGGAAGCGCACTGGATTGCACCTGAGATGGAGCTGTTTTTTTCACTGTGGTACTAGTGTTGAAATCACTGTAGCCTCCCTGTAAAGCAAGACTGGATTCGATGGAGACCGGACCAACTCTTCCATTCAAGCCTGATTCTCCATCTGTGACATCCGCATCTCTCTTTACCTTCTTCACCTCCATTCCACTATCTGAACTGTCCACACACTCATCTACCTGTCCAGTGCCGTTATAAAGTGCTCGATGAGGAACCATATGTGGGTGCGGACCTATAGGTTCTGCCGGCCCTGAAAGCGAAGCTGTGGCTGATGATGATGACGAAGACTGCAGAGGGACGGAGCTGGGCAGTAGGCTGCGTTTCTTGCTGCGGGGGGTGAGGCTGATGCAGTTTTTGGTGATGGTGACGTCCCACTCTCCACTGTTTCGCTCTGAGCTGCTCCACTCCGCTCGTGCTGCTGCCACCACCGCTGCCCTCTGCTGGGCGGCGTCTGTAAGTCCACCACGCTGCATGGAAAAGTGCTCAGGCACCATACTGAGAGATGGATTGGATGTGGGAGGGGGCGGTGGAGGCGGTGCCGTGTTTGGGGACGGGTTCTCTCCATCATAGGGAGCCGACCAGTCCCGACAGGCCCAGGAGCACAGCTCAATGCCACGGCGAGCATCTCGCAGGTACTCCAGGTAGCCGGACTCAGCTTCTGAAGCATCCATCAGCTGGTGCATTGGGCTGTTGGGAGAGGGAACACTTCCGTGGGGAGAGGAGGGAGTGTTGTCTAGACCGGAGGTGGAGGATGGGTTGCTTGAACCTCCAGAGCTTTGTTGGCGAATGAAAAGAGCCAAGCGAGATGGAGTGCTGGGTTTGGGGTGGATTGGAGACTCGGAAGTGGGGCTACCCAAAACTAAAGAGGAAACAAAAAGATCAGAGGCTGTAAAGCGTGTCATGCCTTGAAATAACATGCTACCGTTCAAATGGTGCAGAATCCAAATTCTCAGTAATATAAAACTAGTGGCTGCAGACATATTTAAAATGACTGCAATGTGATGCTAGTATTGTGCACTTTATATGCTTTAAATAAAGCTTCATCAAAAACCCCATTTACACCTGGTCACTTCATGTGTCTTGAGTATCTGGACAAGGCTAAGCCACATAAAAATGCAAGAGTAAACGCACCCAAAACGCATTTAAAACATACAAACACAATTGTTCAAACCACATCAGGAGGTGGTCTGAGACAGATTTGAGCCACGTTATAGCAGTGTAAACACATCTCTCCAAAACACATTTAACAACTAAAATTCCTCCCAGTACAACCTCCCCATGCAGTACGTCACTGGGTACCTGATCGGTGTCCGCGAGAAAGATGGAGGACACACATTGTTGAAGACCAGATGAAACGAAATGCAATCTGTAATAATCTGCAATAGCAACTGTCTGCAGACGACTTACAGGAACTGCACAATATTCAAACACATATCTAAACAGCTCTCAGAGAACAGCTTCTATGTAACGAACAGATATGCATATTGCATATTCTGTCCCAGACAGTTGGATTTCAGTTGAGACACATTTAACTACCAAGCATAAATGCATGTGGCTAAAATCTTATCAGGATACAATGCAGATACTAGTCACATGAACTGACCAGGTGTAAAGGGGGTCAAAGAGTCACTGGTGCTAGTCACACAGACAGGAGCCCCTTTCACATTCAAAAACTTGGACGTTGCCCAGATACTTTTACTGGTAATGTTCAGGCATTTCATCATTCACACATGAAGCCCCTAAACCAGGAGAGGCAAACATACATCCCTCACCAAGCCAGGCTCAATTACGGTTCTCATCAGATGAATTTAGAATCTATGTTCTAGATTAAAATAATCTTTTAGACCGCAAGTGACAAAACAACCGACATACCGCTCAACCAGTCACTGCTTAGCAACTGTCTCTAAGCACTACATCTTCAGTCAAATTAATGAAAAATTCCAGCAAAAGTACCCCATCCTCAGGGCTGTGCTATTTTTATTTTATTCCTGAAGCAGAAAAAGTTTTGGATCAAACTCTGTGGAAGACAATGAAAGCTGCAAGTTTTCTTTGCTTAGCTGCTCAGACTGCTGGCAGCTAAATAAATATTTAAATTTCAATCTGACCATCTAATCTGTCTTGTAGGTGATATTTATTCAGTCAATTTGTTTAGAATGCACATTACAAATTAACGATAAAACACATTGTGGCTTAATGATGTGTTATTTGCCTACTGAACTGATTTTTTTAGCGTAATGTAGCCTATTACCTAAAAGAAGTTTGACACCTTTGTCTTAAATGGTATTTTACCCTCAAAGTTCCAGAAAAGAAGATTTGATATTGTCAGCATTAAAAGATAAAATCTCATTTGTTTCTGAGAACACACTCCTGCAACATTTTCTGTTGTGACTGCAGCCATACATGGATTCTGGGTAGAATCTGTCCTGTTTATCTCTGGAATCATGAACAAAATTTACTCATGAAACTAAACTAAAAATTGAAGTTTAAAAGTTTCAGTTTTCACACTGTAATTTAGACTATCACTATATGCACAACTGGAGCTGTATATGTTACGGCAAAAGCATATGGGCATATAGGCATATGGGCTTCCATTGTCAATATTTTTTTTTTTGCTAATCTTTATTGTTGGATTACTTTTTAGTTTTACTTTTTATTTTTTTACTAACCTCTTAAGTGTTTTTCTTTCAAACTGTAATGATGGTAACTGAAATAACAAAATGTTCTGTGGCAAGCAAAAAATAAAAAACCTCAATGTCCGTATATGTTTTGTAGTAATGAGATAAAACTGCGAAACACAACATTTTGCAAAACTTGTATTTTAATTTTTAATTACATTTTTGTTAGCTTTAAAACTGTTTACAAATGGCATACACATTGTGAAAAGAAAAAAAAAAGTGGGGGAAAAAAAAAAAACCTCTCCTTTACAGATATATCTTCAAACTTTACTGTGTTCCAGTAATGAAAACTTGGTCACTTTAACTGGAAAATGTTACTAAAAAGTAGTCAATTTAAATGTTTCAAGTTGGGTCCCAGTATTAATCATGTTTGTGGAATAACCCAAATATCCCAGTAACGTATCCTGGGATTTGTACTACGTCTTGTGCAGGTAAATTGTTGCATCATCTCGCCTAGATTTAAATTTACACATTCAGTGCACATTGAAAAAAAAGGAAAAAAAAAAAAGCACTATACCACCTTAAAACATGTTCTTGAGTCTTGTATAAGCTCATGATTGATTGTACTCACCCTTGCCCCAGAAGGCAGGTTCCTCCTCCCTCTCACTAGAGGCCGCTGTGGTGATTCGGCAGCACTCTGGGATAAGAGACAGAAACCTATCGGCTGATTTGCCGTACAGGTCAGTCTCTCTGACTGCACGCCGCTGACTCAGCATCACGTGTGTACAGGGCAGCAGATACCTGCATGTAAAACAGCAACTTAAAGCACAGATGGCATAATGAAGCACATTCAGAGTCCAAGAGGAACGTGGATAATTACGTTTATCTCACGCAAACACACACCTGAGAACGAGCTGGAGCATGAGGTCTTCACAGTTGAGGGAGAGCAAAGTCTTGAAGAGACTGAGAGAGACCATGCACAGCTACAGAGCGATACAAGCGAAGAAAGTTACTACACATACTCACTCACCCTGTCTCAAAACTACATAACAGTAGAGCTGTCACTATCGATTTAATTAGTACTTGAGCAATCCCTTTACTACTATGACTATTAAGTAACCAGTGACTTAAAGGCCAACCCATAAAAACTGAACAACAGTAAACTATGCATAGATATTTTTATGGAAAAAGATAGCAGGGGAGCATTTAAAAGGAATTGTACTGCCTGTACAGTATGTAAAAAAACATAAGTTTACAAAACTTGAGTTAAAAAAATGATTCAAACATATACAGACAATGGGACTCCAAACTACTGTACAAGAGCTAGTAAATCACCAAAACTGTCACCATCAGGTAAACAGATTCAAATTTATCTTTGAGAGAAAACTGAGATTCACTATTGTTTCGGATCTGTTTCTGACCATCCTTCCAATGTCAAAAGACAAAAACACTATGAATCTAAAAAGATGTGTAGCTGTCAGGATGTTACTGTGAAAAAGAAACAGACAAAAATCATCTGCAAATCAAAGAAAGAAGCTGCTGTTGTTCTCAGAACAATGGATTGACTCCAGACCTCAGCATCACTGAATGTGTTTGGATTACTTGAATTGTGAGAAACACAAAATGCAACCAAATTCTAAGACCGAACTTTGGAGGTGTGGAAAAATTTCCCTGCAGATTTCTTAGAAAAACTGAAAGCAAGCCCCCTGAAAAGAATAGAAGCTGTCATAAAGGCAAAGGGTGGACACACTATATTCAAAAGAAATAATAATATATTCAGTTGTTGAATATGTTGCAAAAATTGCATATAAACGTGTGAGCCTATCAGGCTCTGTTTCCTACTGTAAGAGACCAGTATAATAATCTAAAACATGCATTATCACCAGGCAAACTCTCAACTAAACACTGCTGATTCAAGATAAACTGAGTATTTTAATCAAGTTATCGTGACAGCCCTACACGACAGCACTGTAGTTTCTACAAATAAATAAACAGCAATACAAGCAAAAGATACTAAGGCATCTAATCACTACAGAATCCCTCTCTATATGAAATGTAAACTCCACAGTGGTGTTATTTAGACTGACCCGTGAGTTGCTGCTGATGCGTGTGAGCAGTGTGTCGAGGATTGTGTCGTTGTCGTGCCGATGCAGCAGGATGAAACGGAGGAAGGTCTTGAGGAGGGACGTCTCTGTGACACTGCGCAGAAACAAGTCCAGATAGGCTGTGCTCGCAATCATCTCATCCACAGACGACTGGAAAGAAGGAAGAAAGTGCAGTGAAGCCAGACAGAGAGCAAAACAGGGTTTAAGTGGAAGGTAGAAGGCATTCAGGGGAAGGAGTGATTAAAAGAGAACAGAATTCAAAGAGAGTTAATATTACACACTCTTTAGCAGTGGTTTTTAAAGTGTGTGGATGAGTGGGTCATGAGGAAGCTGGATAAGTGCATTTCTTTTTGTTTGTTTTTCCACGAGAGCACAGCTAAACAAAGCGCATTTAAGATCACAAGAGGTAACCACTACTTCTGCACCGCTGCTGCCCACAAATCTCTTCTGTGTTATTACTGCAACCTTTTATATCAGCCCTGTGCAGCAAGCGCAGTCACGAGCACATGACGTTCTCAATTTTTTGAGTTGAGTCTCATGCGAAGGATGATGAAAGGGATGGACGGTTACTGTGAATCTTTCAATTTGAATGTGAATCTTTTGCTGCTTTCCGTAAGCTACAGTTGGGTCCAAAAGTCTGACATCACTTTAAAAACTCTAGGATTGTTTTCACTTAATCCTGCAAATAAACAACGGAAAGTTTTAGAATTTAGAATAATTTAGAACAAAGAAAAGTTATGACAAGCAAAAGAACACAGAAACATTCCAATATTTCTAGGCCATTATTCAAATTCGAGCACTTTGTACAAAAGGGTCAGTCATTGCCGCTCACCGGAGACTTAACAACAGCGCGATGGCTGCCTCAAGAACAAAATCCTCAAAAGTGCGAGAGCTAAACAGCTAAACAGAATCAGGGCTTAAGGCATCTTCTGATGGTCTCACCTTGTGCAAGGCGGGCCCCATTACAGGCACCAGGAAGCCATTGTGGAGGTAGTCGAGAAGCTGGCAGCGGACGAGTGGGTGGGCCACCTGCACCACTGCATTACAAAATTCCAGACTGTTCATGAAGAGCACCAGAGACGGCACCCCCATCCAATCTTCCCTGCGCAGAGCATGCCAATCATCACCCCGCACCTCGATCTTTCGTGGCAGAGACGAGTAGAGTGCACTCAGCCCTGTCGCCAGTACCTGAGGTTAAAGTTGGAGATTAAAATTCTTACTTCACACATCAAGGTCTGAAATGCAGTCATTTTTGGAATATAAACCTCCATCTGCATTACAACCATGTATAAAATCCTGTAGAGCAAAGTAAAAAAGCACTGTGGAAACCGTGGATCATATCGAAGAGTAGAAGGGTTTAAAAATCCTGAGAAGTTGTAGCCAGAATTACAGAAATATATTTACTGTATATTAGAGACTTCACCGATCCAATATCTGGTATGCAGAAGATGCCGGATTGAATATCGGTGGCAGAAATAAAAATGAATCCAATCCAATACTTTCACAAATCTAGCCTAAAAATAGCCCAGAGTTGCTTGTAGTGCCGCAAAACGGAGCAAAGTACGTCACGTGTTATCATCAACAACCACGTGATAGAGTAATGTGATAACAGTATGCTGGGGGCAGCAGCAGAACCACTGAGTTTTGCTAAACCGTGGAAAAAAGTTCTAGTTAGAGTGCTGCGGTGCATCTAACTCAGCACTGCTGCCGACTTAGCAAATATCAACGCAGTAAATATCAACATCTTCCTAAGCGAGACGTAGTATGACAACAGAAGGGAAAAAACACATAAATATTGTAGTCTTGTAAACAATTTAATAATTAATTTTCAGACTTTGGGACATACTTACTACAAAACAAGGTGATCTAATGCAGTCTCACTTCCTGCTCTAAAATGCAGGGGTGTGGCTAAAATAAGGCTCTGTCTATGGAAAAAAACTGTTTGAGTACTGACATGATAACATGGGACACCATTTTTTGAATGTTATTTTGTTTAAAATTTTAACTCAAGATAAATCTATTTTTTTAACTCAACTTTAAGAGAATTCAAAAAAGGTCTTGAAAATAACTGAAAAAATACAAAGAACATTTAAGTATTATTTAGAATAAGAGGTTAGGCGTTGAGACAATCACCTCCTGAAAGAAAAGTAAGAAAATACTCTATAAGTGATGATTTTGATATATTTAGTTAATTAATAGGGTTTGAATAGAACATCACATAACCATTGAAAATATCTAAAGTCATAATACTGTATTTATTTATTTATTTATTAATTACTGTGGGATTCTGTAGAATGGTCCATATACATTCTATTTACATTTAACAAGCATTTTTCAGTGCCAAAACACAGTTGCTTTTTGCTGTGCTTTGCTTTTTCCCGTGCATCCATTACTTTCATTACACAAGTCAAACCAGGAAATTATGGAAGTGAGGAGATCCTTGTTTTTTCACAACACAGTAAGCCAGATGGAACACTTTATCATTTGATCTCTCTGACCCAACTACCTCTTCATCAGGTTTCAATAAGTCAGCCTGACCATACAGGGCATGGATCTTGTGTGGGAATGTGAAAAGTAGTTATTCTGTTGTTAATGGTGTATATTTGGTGCTCTGGTGGTTTGTTAAAAGGGGAAGAAAGGCATGTGACTACTCAAGCCACAGGTTCTGCATTTTTTATTGGCCAAAATGTAAAATGTTGTGGCCAGGGATAAAAAACAGACAATATCAACCCCAGTCAATAACATTTTCCAGTAGTTACTGTGGGGGCATAAGTAATACATCGTTATTGCAATGTATCACTCTACGACATGCTTTCCAAAGCATACTGGCATTGTCAGTATGTCTAGAACACCTAGTGTGCGATTCATAAAAAATGAAAATGAAGAGAAACTGTGTGTGTTGTGCATTATGAAGATGTCTTTAAGTATCTCAGCATTATTTTTTGCCATAATGGCCATCCTTAAACTAACCTACCCCTACAGGACTAGAATTTAAAAAAACAAGTAAAAGCTCACATATCTTAAACACAAACAGAGAGACAGAAAAAAAAGGTATAGAAACAGCAACATGTGTGAAGGAGGGAAAGCACTGCAGCATTCAAGATAACCCCTCTATTTGTTCCTGTTAAGCAGGTCAGATGAAAGCTAATTCTATTCTACAAAATTAAAATTATTAAAATTATTCATTATAATTTAAATTATTCTGGAGGATTAAAACAAAACTGACCCCTCTTATTTCCATAATTTAAACCTCCAATGTACAAAACCTCAGACTTAGCGTCAGCACGTGAAGACAGTAAACAACACGGGAAGTATTTACACAACTCAAAGAGCAACGGCTGCAGCTTTGGAGCCACCTGCTGCACAGACAACACAGCGTTACAGAACAGCACAGCACAGCACAAACATAACAAGCAACACACATACGAACAGACGATATTCACTGAGAAACAGGTGCACCATGCATGCATTTTAAAACAAGTACACACTATAATCCATATATGACAAGTATTGAATGTAACACATGTTAAAAGGCCCATATCCTACATTTTTCTTGGATTTTATTTATTTTTTTACTCCTAAGGTCTTTCTGGTTTTATGTAGTCATAATTCATAATTCAATTTTTTACATGACTATTTTCCAACCTCTTTTTATTCCCTAGAATTCAACAGGCTACTTGTGTTATTGTGCCATTAAGACTATATGATTATTTGTAAATGACATCTGCCCTGATTGGCTACCCTCAATTATGCCTGAAAGCAGTTTGAGCTGAAACATTCCTTATGACTTAAGCATGCTGCACACTGAATTGGCTGAATGTACATTTAAAAGTGTTGGTTTTCATGACATCACAGAAAGATCACATTCAACATGGACTGTTTCTGCAGCTTAGTTTCCATGTATGGATTGTATGGAGCAAGAAGTGGGCAGTACGTTTTGAAACTTTCAGTGTTCAATATTAAATATCATTATTTTAAAGCGGTGAGGAAAATTCAGTTTTCCATGATACACTCCCTTAATTCAAAGGCCGTCAACTCTCCTCCTAGAGATCTGTTTTCCTGCAGAGTTTGGTTCTAAATAGTCTCACAAGCCAGATGTGATCTTGTAAATAAGAATACACATGTGAAGATAAAATTTTGATAAGGGATTGGAGCGAAATCTATCCTATATGCCCCTCTAACCACCCCACAAAACAAACAGTACAAACAATCACACAGAAAAAAGCTAGCTAGCAAAACGCTATCACCAGCTAACAGAACTATTTTTTATCTTTGCTAAAGGTGGTTCCAAAAACTTTTTTCACTGTCAAAGAGGTGAAAATTCTCAGCCAACCCAGCTTCGAGGAGGAATAAATGTGGAATATCACAAATACATGTACTCTTGCAGTCACAAATTGTGTTTATATGAAGTAAAACTACCTGAACCACACTAAACATTACCCTAAGTAAGAATCCTGCTTTTTTTAACAACCAGGATAGCGGACTGCTAACAGGCTAACTCAAGGGTTCTCAAGCTCAATGCATTGTAAATAGGCCTATATGATAATTACACACACCTATTTTTTATTATAACTTTATTGTACATATTGTACATGCATAACCACCAGCACAGTGCTGCTATTTAATCCATATTCAGAACACAAAGTTTGATTGTATACAATAAAAAAAAATTTAAAGATAGATGCCTACTTGTGGGCTTTTGGCAAAATATGGGATCAATAAGCAGTACTGATAAGTATAATAGGATTAACAAAATCCTACTGACGACCAGCCATACTCTCACACTCACACACACTCTTACCGGGCAGAAGTAGGAGTTCTCAGCGATGTAGCGTGCAACGGAGTGGTTGCTGGCAGAGGTAGCCATGACGAGCAGCAGGGCATCACGGGCCTGCTGACCCAGAGCTCCGTCTCGATGGATAAACGGCACCAGCAGAGAGAAGATCAGCAGGTTAGTGGGACCCTGCTGCACCGCCCCACACCTGAACAACAGCTCCAGCACTGCAGGTTGCCTTGCCATGGACACACACACCTAAAGACACATACATATATGTGAACTTGTACCTAAAACACACACAATTGTTTTGTTTACAAAACCTTTTTCTAACAAAAATCGGCTTTTTCTAATACATATAAATGTAACTGTTCCAATTGGCTGCCCGGTATAGTGCCTCATTCAGCAGAGCAGTCTGGTGAATGATGTTGATGTACATTACAAGAACATCAAGGCTTTTTTTCAATTTAAATATGTATTTGATTTATATAAGCCCTATATAATATAAGCCCTCTAAAGCAACCCTCCACAATTTTATTTAGCTTTGGGGAAAAAAAAAAAAGAAAAAACTAAAAACAACTGCACTTTACTGAACAAACGCCTGTAATGTTTTGTTCCTTTGGCTTTGGCAGACACACAGACACACACACACAAACCTGGTTAAGCAGCAGTACGAGGCTTGCCTCCAGGCTTGGGGGGCAGCCGAGCTGGGGATCCACACAGGCTCCCAGCAGGCTGAGCAGCGGCTGTAGCACAGCGCTGTGCTGGAGCAAAGGCTGAGGGGATTGGCCAATCAGCATCTCAAACAGCTTCAGCAGCGCCATCTGGCTCTCGGGGTCCAGGCCTCGCCGCACATGCCACTGCACCAGCCGCTCCAGGATGTTTTCAGATGCCACCAACTTCAGAATGGGGCCCATTGCTAAAGGAAAAACATTTAACATTTTAGACATTAGCAGACTTCCTACAAAGTTTTACAGCAAAAAGATCAGTGTCATCTCCTTTCAATTATGCTTATGCTGACAGTTTCCATCTGTCAATAATGGATGACTTTAATGTCTGAATGTTGTGATCCACAAAGAAATTATATTTGTTTCACTATTAATTTTCTTTTAACATATAATGTTATTCCATGATCTGAATCATGCCCTGATATGTTGTCTGGCTGTAGAATATTCGGTGGCAGCACGAAGCCCATCTTTTTTCTTCTTACTAGTTCTCATGCTGGTTAAACTGATAAAGCTGTGCAGCACATGTATGCAAAGACTTCTCATAAAACATGAACAGAGGCTTACAAGATTTACATTGTGATCACGTCAGTTCTTAAAAACAAAGTCAATGCTACAACGGCGGCTGCCTTTAGGCTACTTCACATGGTTAAGCTATAGCCGTTTATTATGTTAACAAGAAGTGATTTAGGGGGTGCGATCGCACAAATGGTATACAGCACACAATACTGAAAGCCTATAGTAATAACTGCAGTTATTATTATTACTATGAAATACAGGGAATATTTTAAATTAAGAAAAAAATAATCTGTTGGTGAAATATGTTGCTCTTATTATGTTTAATGCATAAAATATGCTGGTTGGCCTAAATACAGAGAAGGTATTCATTATAAACCTGGTGGATCACTGTCGCCCCCTGCTGGTCTCTCTTCTGCCAGGAGACACAGCATCTGATCAGTGTGATTCCTCACTGCAGTCAGATCATCTGCTCCTCCGGACCCCGAGTCCCTCTGCTCCAACACCCACGACACCTGTTTGTGTGTGTGTGTGTGTGTGTGTGTGTGTGTGTGTGTGTGTGTGTGAGAGAGAGAGTGTGAGCGTGTGTGAGAAAGAGAGACAGAGAAACAATATGCATATAAATGCATATGAACATCGTACATGTTGATGCCAGCATGCCAGTGGGAAAGTCAATCACTTACACACACACAGGAATGTGTAAGCTTGGGGTCCGTGAACACAGGTGTCTGGACGAAGGGTCAAGTGGTATGTTCTCTGTTTCAGTAATGTTTTTATGCCCTTACCAACTCACCCTGGTCATTTCCTCATGATATTACTGTCTTATTTTAAGTAAGGTTATTTTTAGATAAACTTAGAGTGGCAAGGGTCCGAGCCCATTTAAACACAGAGTTCAGCAGCAGAAATCAGTGCAATTCAACATTTCCTTTTAATACCTGAAAAACCTGACAGACAAAACTAATTATTAGTGTAAGCCATATATATCAAAATACTTTAAAAGTACAAAATCTCTAACAATTGCTTTGATTGTGAATTGCTCCTTATATAAAATCCATTTAAACTGATCAACATCAGAGTACAAACTTGAAATCTAAAAAAATGCTTGCAACATCACGTGAAATGCAAGTAAAAAGAGAAGGCAGTGATCTGTAAATCCGCTCTGACCTATATTTAAACAAAAACAGTAGAAACACAAGATACTTAATGTTTTACCTCATCAAACATTAAAAGTTGGAACACTGCAAAATGTTCAGAAAACATCTTAAACAGGTGATGCAGTCATGTTTGTGTACACAAGGAGCATCTAGGAAAGGCCTAGTCCTTTATGAGCAAGGATGAGTGAAGTATCATCAAATGATTCAGGGAATCTAGAGAAATCTGAAGTCAACCTCCATGCCCATCACCTTAGATTCCACAGATGGCACTACATTTAAATATGGCACGTTTCTGCAATGAATGTCACCACATGAGCTCAGAAGTACTTTGACAAACAGCTGTCAAACACTGCAGCCACAAATGCAAGTTAGGACTACTACGCATAGCAGAAGCCACATGTTGACAACTTCCAGAAACGCTGCCGACTTCTCTGGGCTCAAGTTCATCTGAAATGGGCATTCTTGATGAAAACAAAATGTTTACTTGATTGGGCACATGTCTTTACAGCCGAAGTAACGTTTGATTTTGGAACATTTATTTTTTTTTTAATCAATACAAATGTTTTCGGATGTTTAGTAAACCACATAAATGGCTAAATATTTTTTAGCATGAATTCATTCAGCGTGCTCTGAAGAGAAGATGAACAGTGAGATGAATGAAAACAATACAACATTCATCATGCTGAAATTGAAAAACACAAAATGGGTTAAACTTTATATTGACTGCTTCTAAGAGAATAATAATAATACTCATATGGTACTGCATAAAAGTCTTTATTCGTGTGCGATGTGCTATTGTGGCATCTCTGTCTATCCTAATCAAATGTGCATGTGCAATTTAATTTGTCTAAAGACTAGGAAAAATAAAGATTCCTAAAAGGTTCTGGACAGGGACATACCATTTTAAGAAAGATCTTTAACTGGTAAAGAACTTTTATATCATGTGGGTTCCTCAAACTTAAAAAGGTTTTTGACATTTTTTTAAAGAACCATTAAATGAAAGGCTGTAATGCTAAAGTAACTAGATAGCAAACTAAGAGCTATACGACGGGTCTAAGCTGAAGCCCAAACTGACGAAGCAATTATTCACAATGTTTATGTTCCATTACAGTCAAAAGGAAATTGAAGGTACACTCACAAAGTACAATTAATCCCTAATCAAGCTGGGTTAGGTTTCACCAGAGGAGGGCCACTAATGTAGTTATTCGGGTTTTGACTGATCGATTCATGCAGGATAAATGATCTGTGTAATTTCCCCAAATTACCACAAATAGTCCAAATAGTGTTACATGACAGGTGCCCCGCTTAGGAACTATAACACTGCCCAACAAGATAGAAATGATATTGCGTTACGAGGGGGTAATTTTCCTTCTCCTTCTAATTCAATCATCACCATAAATGTGGATTACAAAAAAAAAAAAAGAGGTGCCATTTTCAATGACCTGGTTTTGTTATTAGATTACTGTTATGCTGATTGAAATGGGACTACAATTACCATGCGAGCACCGATGTAATGAAAATAGTTAAAAGCTGAGGCAAGAATCTCAAAGTGTCAACTTCTCACATGTCATAAGTTAAATATTAAAAGCTGACACTGAAAAAAAAATTGGCTCTGTACAAACGTTACATTGAGTCTAGCAACCTGGTATTTAAGTTGGCGTTTAGTAAGTGTGTTTACTAACTCTAACTAATGAGAGATCTGTATCATTTTTTTATGCTAAAGTTACTATGAAACGCAAGCACCTTAATGTGCCACAGACATGACTGAGAAGTCTGAATGAGTGTGGCTAGGCTAAGTTTGATATCGTAAGTTAGAAATAACATTTGACTGTTCTCAATGTCACCTTGACAAGCCAACAAGTTTCCACACGTTCCACTGAGCAGAAAATAATTTACCTCATGCAGAAGACAACAACTGTCTTTCATCAAACATTAAACTAAGCAAGTAATTTAACTCAAACACGCTAAAAGATTTTCCTTTACTTTTGAACGGCGAGGCAGTTTACTTACAACTCTGTTGAAAAGATGATTGTCAAAGTAATGTTAGAGCAATTCTCAGACTGAAAAATGATTGACAATTCACTCTGGACTTTGCAGTTTGTGACACAGGTGCTATGTACTTTGGAGCTGTGATGTGAAGTCAGTGAGGGCATGTTGAACACAGCACTGAAACGTAGGAATGGAGGCATGTGCTGTGACAGACTACCTCTCTCTTTCTCCTCCCTATTCACTCTAGGACAATCCAATTCTGACCGATTTACTGATATAATGTACAGAAACTGGCTGCAATCCACAATCTCCCGCCTGCCCCCCTACACACATACACATATTGATCTGTAGCTGTTCAAATCCTGTGTGAGGGAGTATTGATTTTGCTTTCCACTGGCTGATGCTTTGCAAGCTATTTAGCAGTCAGCACTGTAGACAGTGCATGTGACTGTGTGTGTGTGTGTATGCACGTTCTCACCTGTCTCCAATGATTCTCAAAAACCATCAAGCAGGTCTCAGGGTCAGCAGTACAGAGGCTAGATGGGGCCGCGTTACGATCGGTCCTTTGGCCAGCGCCCCTGGGTGTAATACGACTTAACCAACTCATCTTTAGCTTAGCTGGGGCCAAAGATCACAACGTGGAGTTTCCTAAGGAAAGAGGGAGGATCAGAGAAAGGAAAGAAAAGGAAAGAAAGGAGGAGAAGGGGGAGAAAGAGGAAGAGGAGAAGAGAGGGGAAAGAGGGGAAGGAAAACGAGCGACAGAGGTAAAGAACCAAAGGGAGAGAGAGAGTCTACAGGTGTGCTGGAGAGAAGGAGAGGCAAAAACATCAAAAGGACGGAATCCCACTGGCGTCTGCAGCAACGTTCGGGGTCGTCACGATAACAGGGTAGTCAGTATGAGGGATTAAGGCTGGTCAGCAATGTCATCCGGTCTGTAGCCAGCACCACTCCATACCGAGACACACACACACGCACACCTAGAGAGAGAGAGAGAGAGAGAGAGAGAGAGAGAGAGAGAGAGAGAGAGAGAGAGAGAGATTTAGTGATACATATTGCACACCTGCAATGCAACAAACAAACAGAAGGATCAGTCAAAATAGCAAAAGAGAAATAAAACAGAGAACAGAGAAGGGATGAAAACACACACACAGACACACAAGCCCCTAATTTCCACCCTCTCTGCTGATCAAAGCCCTTCTGCTGCCTTCCATCCCTTCATCTTCCAAAGGTACTCTCCCTGCCCACTGGAATATGACTGAAGGCCCAGTTCTAACCTATTCCATCCTCCCTTTCAGCTCTCACTGACTCTCCACATCTTCACACTCATCTTTCTGGCTTCCTTTTAACGCCTTATATTAGATGCACGGGCGCTGTATGGTGAGTACGGTCAGTGTGCAAGTGACATATATAAATATATAATTCTGAATACATTATGACCATAAATGATTTTTCTGTGACATATCTTCACTATTAAAACAAAAATGTAAACATCTGAAACCTTGTTGATATGGGCTGTAAGGCCCAATCCCATTTCACCCCTTGCCCCTACCACTTAGCTCTCTGTTTTGCATGTTCACGTCTAGGGTTAGGGTGTCCCAATTTTTGTTGAGATAGAGAGGTAAAGTGAATTGTTAGGGCTACATGGCCCTCCAAACGGAGGTTTTTCAGAGGCACACTCCAAACGGAGTGTTATGAGAGAAAAAGAAAAACTGGCAAGACGGCTGCGCAAGTGACCAAAGAAACCCACAAATGTAACTAAGTATTTTCTCTGTTAAAAAAAATTACGATAAGCATTGTATTATCTTAGTTTAATGTCGTTTCAATATATATATCACTAATAGCATGCTAATGTCTCGGCAGCTAGCTAACTTTCCCATTCCAACTTAAATCGTCCAGCAGTATTGACGTCTGAGGCGCCAGAATGTACCTGCTGCACCATATAAGGTGGAACGGGAAAATTTGAACAAGAAGCTGGCGATGGCTGACTTCAGCGTCATATCACTGAAGAATTAGGGGTGGGTGATAATAAATAACCGTCTTATACCCCCTCCTTGAAAGCATATGATGCCCTAAATGTAACTAAAGCCCAGCAGCCAGGTTGCTGAAATTCTCCCCTCTTTGCTATCACTGAAAACGGGCCAGGTCGCCTGCAGAGCAGCGCTAGCAGCCTGTTAATGAAGCAATGTTTATTTGAGGGTTGTCCCATTTCGTAGGGCAAGATTTCAACCACTACTCCTTATAACTCAGTTCCAAGGGGTTAGGGTGACGAAATGGGATTGGGCCTAAATGTAAGTTTACTTAACTTAACTGAACACTAAAATATTTAGTCTACATTTTACGTATTTATACTACAATGTCTAATAGTAGTGATAATAATTACAGTAATAATTAAGAAGAATTGGCAACTATTCTTGTTCTTCTTCTCATTATTAATACTGTAGGTTCTAGTAGATTGAAGAATTGCTAATACTGACTAAGATGCACTTAAATTAGTGTATGTTACGCAGTTAAAATTAATTTATTCCTTCCTTTTAAACTGTTGGAAAATGATCCAGATTGCACTGGACTGCACCGACTTCTTTAAAGCAGAGTCCAGTTTGTGTTATAAAAGCTATAAAGTGGATTTGAGCAACTTAAAAATCTTGATCTTAACCCAATTCACTGACAAGAGTTGACCCAAGACTACAGTTGAAAAGATGCCGTTTTTTCTCTGCACTCATGCACAACTCACTGCTGTTCAAACAGTGTCGAAAAGTGTCACTGACCAAAGCACCAGCATTGCTAGCAGCCTCCTTGTGGACAATCTTGTTAAATGTGAGTGAGAGTTACAAGCCATGAGGTGCTTTAAATCTACAAAGTAAAATAAATAAACAGAATTTATGCAATAATGCATGACAACAACAACAACAACAACAACAACACTAATGATAAAAGCAACAATAAAAAAGAAATCAGTTATAGAAAGTAAAACCTCTCGAGTCTCTCTTATTCTTTTGGAATTATATTATTCAAATATTGAAGATAATATTAAAAATCAAAACCATTCTATAGTTGCAGCCCTACTTCCATATAAAAACTTTGTCTGCATACTCAAAATATTTTTTCAGAAATAAATATGAATCGGACAAAGATAATTATAATAAAAGCAAACTGTGGTGAAATCTGAGAACCATGATCAAATTAAGTATTTCTGAGCTCAAATATACACTCATATGCAGAGGGTTGGGCACCCCTGGTCAAATGATGTGTTTTGATGATTTTCTAAGTGAAAATTAGTTAACACACAGAGAACACTTCTGCATGTTTGCACAATTACTGTTTATTTACTGAATCTAACACATATGGGTTGGGGGTGTGTTCGCTGTAGAGAACTTATTTTCACTTAGAAAATCTACAGAACGTAATTTGATCAGGGTGTTCAAACTTTTAAACATGACTATACACTACTACTCAATGCTATACTTCAGTGTCATTCAGTCAAATCCTCACAGAGGCACACTCACACTTTCACAAGCGTGGGCACAGATTTAAAGATATCGTTGCTTTACCAGTGGTGGTGCACAAATGCAGCTTCACTGACTGCAACTCTGAAATCTACTTTAGCCAGTCCCAGAATTCACTGTAATCTTATTTAATACATGCCACATCTTGTTTGCAGCTCCACAAAGGAAAAACCGACGTTTCAGCCTCATGAACGAAATCATAAAACGAGAGAGATCTGAAGGTAGGAGCAGAATCCACAGGCAGTCTTTTAGCAGAGCTTGTACTCATACCCACTTAAATGTTCTGAGAAAGAGAGCAGCTTTCCGAGCACTCCACCCTACCATTCCAAAAACTTCCTGGAACGTCACATGACAAGATGGCTCTATTCCCAAAAAGAACTCGCTCGACTCAAGAAGGAGGGTAAAGAATTGCAGTGACATTATGCCATAAAGCTATAGGGCCACACAGTGCTGGGCCAGGGGTCACCAAATACAAGTAAACCCATGTCATCTGGCATGATTTAATGCAGCTGGTATCATCATTGACAACGTCAAGGCAAATTATGTTTGGCAGATGAAACAGAATTATTTTGGTATGGGCAGTGCTTGTAGTTTGGGCCACCATGCACCCTATATTTGGAGTGAAGCATGTCAAAATATGACGGAGCTTTCCTGGAAGAAATTACTAAACTTCTGAAGACTTTAACAGTGTGAAGTCATGAAGGTAGCAGCAAGAGGAGCAGAAAACACAGCAAAAGACCAACCTCAATTCCCACATGTGGTCACATTCCAAAGTTTTATTATGAACGAATTAGTTTTAAATGAGGGGTAATGCAATTTTACCATAGGACATCTGTAATGTTTATGATATTGCATGGTCTAAAAATTTCAGTTTGATTTACAGAGATGGGAGTGGCTACTCTTTTCATGCACTGGCATAAAAAAAGTTCCATGGAATACAATCAGCTGCTCACAAGTAGAAAATATGTACAAACATTTAACTAAATTTTGTTAACCACAACCATCTATGTATCGAAAGCAATGTGTCATTACTGTCATTAGAGTTGCGAGAATACATTTATATTCGCTGTTCAATTCTTCAGTAACTGATTGTATCTGTACTTATCTCTCATTGCACACCCTTTATATTACCTGCAGATTGTTTCTGCACTGTCTATCATCTTTTTCTCTATTTGTATTATTTAATTTAATTTTATGTTGACTCATGCACCAATAGAAATTCCTTTTACATCTGATACTTGGGAAATAAAGATTCTAATTCTGAGATGGGATCAGAAATTTTAGGTTTCTCTTCATTGTTTATTATTTTCCCAAAATAGCATACGTTATTTTGCAAAGAAAATGAGTAATAAGATGCATAACTGCAGTAAACACCAGCTTCATTTCAATGTTACGCCTCCTAAATACACCAGGGGGCGCTCATCATAAATCACCAAATGACCTAAAAACACACTGTATTTTTCACAGTTTTCAAAAAAAGGTACACTGGCCTATTCTGACATATCTTTGAGAGGTACTTTACCATAAAAGCATAAAACTGTACTGTTGCAACAATTAATCAACATTATCGATAACATCGATAATAAAAAATCTTGACCAGGAATGGTGTCATGGATTTGTTGCCACGATGATGCCTGCACCCCCAATTTACATTACTTGAATAAAAGAGGGGAAATACAAATGGCACAGACCACAGTAGGGTTACACATGGCTAAAAAAAATGTCAAGAAAAAACATGGCAACGTTTCACTTTAACATCTAAAAAAAAAGACAATTTCCTGTGAGATGTGTAACAATTGAGCTTTGACTGTAATGGAACTGTCATAGATGAGGATCTAGAGAAACGGGTTTGCAGCAGAAAATGGAAAAAGCCCAGCGTGAAAGTGCAGTAAAATTTAAAAACAAACAATGTCGTTGTCTGTGAGCTCTGTTTTAGTTTAGCAAAATAAACAGCGCTGGGATGAACCGCATTTTTGTCTAAACTGCACAGCTAAATGATACTTATTAGTTGCTAGTTGTTATAGCTGCTACAGACCTGCTCGTCCACAAGGACATGCATATTTTTTGAAAGCGTACTTTCTTTGTCTGTGTTACGGAAAACAGAGCTTTTGGAAAATGCTCTCCAGGGTTTTACAAAGTCAGTTTTCATGTAGACGGATGTTTTTCGTAAACCTTCACACACGTGCAGCATAGCTTTTCTAACATCACTTGCTCTCATATTTAAGTAGCATGACATGTCTGAACTAAAACCTCTATGATCCTTCAGAGGGCACTGTGAAACCTACGTTTTGGTCAGAAGCTCTAGTCTGTTTAAAAAAAACAAGAAGTATTGCTTTGTTTCTTGACCCAAGGCACAAACACCTGAGGTTCACTAAACATGTAGTAAGCAAAAAACAAAAGGGTGAGGCCTTCTTTAACCTTCTTTCAACTTTCAGCAGCAGTGCCAATGTGGACAACTGCACCTGAACCAAGTG